TACTCCATCCTACAACAATCAGTTATATTCATCGGAAAAAAAAGGCGCATGCAGGTGCAGCATGGAGAAGGAGCAAAGACATTTAGTGAATATTCGAAAGAAGCATGCACGTGCAGCATGGAGAAATCAACAAACGCAGACTAAATAAATGCAACAAAGGAGATGTCCAGTACACGAAGCATCCAAGAAGCGATAATAGAGGAGTCACCTTGACCTCTCGACACTAGGTGATGAAGCGAAGGCCATAGCGACGTGCAGTGTGTGGCAGGGGTATAGAGTAACGGCGTGACGCATGACAGTGGTGATGATGGAAGGTGTCGACGGCGTACGGGGGGACTTGTGAGGAGGATATCTGGAAAGTGTGGGAACTGGGGGTTGAGTTTGGAAATAGGAGGAGGATGTGATGTTGAATTATACTTCCTTCAAGCATCCAGGTGCCTAAACAAAGTGGGGGACTTGTGATGGGGATATGAGACCCTAGGGGGTTTATTTTATTGGGAAAGTATTGGCTCAAGTGGAGGTGGTGAAAGAAAGAAGTTGGCCCAAGTCTTGTTGGGCTATGAAGACAAGCATGCATGGTGGGTCGGGTGAAGAGCATGGACCGAAAGGGGGGCTGGTGAACGGGAAGTGGTTTGGGGGGAAGCGTCGCCGGCGGCGGCTCTTGCTGGCGATGGGCGGAATAAGCTCGGGCGGTGCGCCCTTGCCTGGTGCGACCAGCGCACCATGCGCGGGCGTAGCACCCCCGTGCGAGGCCACGGGGGCGGTGGCCGGCCAGCGCCCATGGTCGGGGGAAATCACCGGGCCTAGCGCCCTCATCGTGGGGGGCGCGGCCGCGTACGGTCGTCGGCACCGGGCGGTGGGGCCGTCCAGGGTGCGGGGGGTGCGCGGGAGAAGAAGGTGGGTGTGTCGGTTCGTGGCGAACGTGCGGACTATTGTGCGACAAACGAGGGAGTGGCGTCTGAGTAGTGGCACACATGGACAACCAAAGGGGGGAGCGGGGCCTGCTATAAATAGGGGCCTTAGATCTTTGGCTAAGGGCAACTCAGACACGACAGGCACATTGGTCCAGTAGTCCTTGGTTTATACTCTTAGCCCAGCCACCTAGGTTCGATTCCTATCAGTAGTATAGTTAGCTATAGCCCACCCTGTGGGCCTTATTCTTTGTATTTGGGCCGCCATTCTAGGCCTGTACTTTGGGCCTAGTGCCCAGGATAATAATGCTACTTTTTTCTACCCCGTTCTGTATTTCTATACCCGGCCCCAATAAAACCATCATATATATATATATATATATATATATATATATATATATATATATATATATATATATATATATATATATATATATATATATATATATATATATATATTTATTTATTTATTTATTTATTTATTGATTTATTCGTAATTGTATTTCATATATATTATAATTTTAACAATTTGAATAATTAATAAATTTAAGGGAAAAGGGTCAAATAACTCCCTGAACATTATACAAGGAGGCAATTAGGCCTCTGAACTTTTAAAAGTAACAATTAAACACATCAACTTTTGACTTTTGTGCAATTAGAACAAAAAACTGGATATTTACCTGTAATTGCAGGTAACCTCTTATGTAACATCATACGTGTCTTTTTTAGTAATAAAATAATATTTAATTTTTAAAAAATTTAAAAAAAAAAACACTTACCCATCAAAGATAGCCATGGCCGGCTGCCTTCCTCCTCCTTCTTCGTCTCCAAATCTGGAGACGAAGAAGGGTCCTCTTTCCCTTCTTCGCCTCCAGATCTGGAGACAAAGAAGGAAATGATTGCTATTTTTTTTTTTTAAATAAAGGTTGAAGCTTGAAGGCAGCCATGGCCAACGGCCATGGCTACCTGATACTGTGTTCTTTCTTCGTCTCCAAATTTGGAAATGAAGAATGGTCCTCTTTCCCTTTCTTCGTCTCCAGATATGGAGACGAAGAAAGGAAAGATTAAAAAAAAAAAAAAAAAAAACGAGAAGTTGAAAGCAGCCATGTCCGACGGCCACGGCTGCCTTGTCCTTCTCTCCTTCTTCGTCTCCAGATTTGGAGACGAAGAAGGGTTTAAAAAAAAAAAAGAAAGAAAAAGAGAGAGTGATCTATGAAGAGGTTGAAGGCAGCCATGACCATGGCTGCCTTCTTCTTCTCTGGCCGGCGACGGCGAACGGCAAAGGACGGGCAAATCGTTACAGGAAATGTTTATTTATTTATTATTATTATTATTATTATTATATTTTTATTTTTAATTTTAATAAATGCTTTTTAAAAAAAAAAAATTTGCATACGTGACAAGCTTAAATGATGCCACATAAGAGGTTACTTGCAATTACAGATAAATATTCAGTTTTTGGGTCTAATTGCACCAAAGTCAAAAGTTGATGTGTTTAATTGCTACTTTTAAAAATTCGTGGGCTTAATTGCCTCCTTGTATAATGTTCATGGGCCTATTTGACCATTTTCCCTAAATTTAAACTCTAATTGAATGTATTTCCTTAATAATGGCAATTTATATCCTACACCACGGCGCGCGTTGCACTGTGCGCCCAGATGCAAAACGACGTCGTTTTAATTTAATTTAATTTTTTTTTTTGAAATTTTCCGCTCCAGTGTATGACAGTTATTGTTTCTTTAAAAAAAAACCCTGTTCAAAAATGTACATAATGTTATACTAGAATACACATAATTGTATACATGAATTGCAGAACTTTGAAGTTGATGTTCATTTTCCATTAAAATTCTAAAACCCATAGAATTCATAACAAAAAATCCAAAAAACACCATATTTGGCTTTTACGGCCTTATGGCCGGCGTTTGAGATGGTGGAGCCACCATCTGACCGGGCAGCGACACTGTTACGCCATTTGGATCCGGAGTTCTCCGAGAATGAGAATCCGAATCAGCTGGACGCGAGGAGCATGAATCTGAAGGCTGAGCGTCATTTGGAGGTGTCTCTAGTGAAGAATCGCGAGGTCGGAGCTCCGGATGAAAGTCGGAGGCCTAACCTAATTGAGGAGGAGTTTGACAATAAAAATCCTCAATCTGAGGCTTCAGATCGCAATGACAATGAATTGGGACAAGGCCGAGAACTGAGCGTCTCTGTGACTCAATCAGCCTCAGATGATTTGAATAAGGGGAAAGTTTCTCTGAAAGTAGGCGAACACGAAGTGGTGTTCGAGATAGAGGAACTGGATGAAATAATGGAGAAGGCAGCGGATAATAAAGATCTCATGGAGGATTTAATAGCCGAGAGATTTTTGGAAGAGGCAACGAAGGTTGTCCAGAGAAAAATAGTCGGCAATCGCAATTTAGAAAGGAAAGTAATGGAGAAATTGCGCAATAAGTATAAGGGGCTCTTGATCGCCGAGATGAAAGCTGTGACAAGGGAGAATTGCGAAGAGAAACATGTGGAAAAGGAGCCTCAGGCAGAGAAATCTGCTGATCAGAGAACTGCTATGGCCGGCAAGGAATCGGAGGAGAGCTCTCATCAAAAGCCCCCAGTCAAGGGGGTAACATTCAAGCAAAACCAGAGTGGAAAGCAGGAGGAAGTGCAGGGAAGCCTAAATCCAACATTGAAAGAATCCAAAGAGATGCCAGGTATGATCTCGCATGAGAATGATAAAGAGAAGCAGAGGGATACAGACTGCCTGGAACCTATTTGTGAAAATGTCTCAAAGACATTTCAACAGACTAAGGCTCCAGGCAGTATGGCTCCCAAAAAGATCCCTGGAAACACTGGCTGGACAAGCTCTAAGCCAGGCCCAGGCAGTGTTTCTGGTCCAAATCAGAATAGGCAAGGGATGCAAAGTTATGCATCTCATTTTACTAAAGGCACTAGTAAAGGGGATGATTGCATTTTTGACCATATCCCACAGCCTGAAGTGTGTGATAATGATCCTGAATTTCATAGGGGACTACCAGCCATAAGGCTTGAAGAAACTGAAGTGGAGACATTAAATGAAATTGATAAGCATTTGCTAATTGGAAAAAGCTCTAAGGGTAGGCCTCCCCTTGATGAAATCAGGAGACATTTTGAATCTAAATTCATTTTGAAAGGCAGCCTGGTAATAGGGTGGATTGATGCTAGACATGTGACACTTGCCTTCTCACATGAGGAGGATTGCATAAAAGTGTTGATGCAGGATCAGATTTTGTTTAATGGGAAATTCCCCATGAGATTGTTTAGGTGGGCTTTAGGATTTTCCACAGAAAGAGAAACTAGCTTGGCCCCTGTATGGGTAAGATTGCCTATGTTAAGTGCCAATTTGTTTAACAAAGCAATCTTGAAGAAAATTTGCAAGCCTGTAGGTAAGTTCCTTGCTGCAGACTATGCTACTACCCATTTTACAAGGCCAAGCTATGCTAGGGTTAGGCTGGAAATTGATCTATTGAAGCCCTTAGTTGAAGAATTTTTTATAGGGTTTTCTAGAAATCCTGGAAAAGAAGATGTGGGGTACATACAAAAGGTTGTGTATGAAAGAGTACCCCACTATTGTACCAATTGCTTCAAATAGGGCCATCCTGCTGAGATTTGCAGGTTGGGACAACAGACTAACATTGCAGGTACATCTGGGAAGAAGTCTGAGAACTTCACAAGCAACAGAGGAAGGAGTGTGATAAGGGAAAACAAGGAAACAGGTGGAGGAAGAAGTCTAAGCAAAGGAAAAAGAAGCCAAAGTAGGGGGAACAGACAGCAGGCTCAACCCCCTACTGGAGATGTTGCTGCCCCTGAATCTAGCAAACAGGCTGAAATAAGGGGGGAAAGGAGGGAAGGGGATCTCATGAGGGAGAAAAGAGTCTTAGAAAATAGTGGAAAAAGACAAAGCAGTGAATTTCAGGAAGCTGAGTGGGAAGTGAGTAAAAAAAGGGGAGGGGGTCTCTCAAACCTCACCCATGCCAGAATACCACAAATCCAGTGTCACAGAACGTTTCAAGGCCAGTTCATGAGAAGCCAGTACATGAAAATAAAGGAAAAGAAGTGATGAGGGAGCAGGAAGAAATGCAGAAAAAGAAGAATGAGAGGAAAAGAAAAAATGAAGAGATAATGGGAGAACCTGAAAAAGAAGAGGGGGAGATAGAGGGATCTAGGAGGGAACAGAATGTGGGAGTTGAGTGGAATCCAGGAGATGATCTAAAAAGTGAGGAAGAAGATTATGATGACTCTTGCTCCCCATCCTTTGAAATGAGTGAGGAAGAGGAGGATTTTATCAGTAAAGAAGAGGAGTTGGAAGAGCAGATGAGGAGGGATTGTAAAAAGATCAATGTCACACCCACCAAGAAATTATCCAAAGCTCAAAAGAAAAGGCTGAGGAAAAAGGCTAGGTCCTCTGGGAAGGGTGGGGGACAGAAACATTCATGAGAATTATTTGTTGGAATATAAGGGGAGTGGGCTCCCAAGGCTCCCCTTATAGGATAAGGAACTTGGTGAGAGGCTACAAGCCTATGCTACTTTGTTTGTTAGAGCCAATGAGGGACAGTAAGCATATGAAAAATGTGATAATGTCCTTAGGCTGGGATCTTGAGAAATGTGCTGGCAATGACAAAATCTGGATCTTCTGGAATGGGGACCTGGCAGTGAAGAATGTTGACATACAGGAGCAATTGATCACTTTGGCTCTGGAGAGCCCAATTTGTGCAGAGGAATTACATATCTCCTTTGTGTATGCTAGCTGCAATGTAAGAACTAGGAGAGATCTATGGGAAAGTTTAGAGCAGAAAGCTGAGGGATTGGAAGGAAGAGGGTATTGGGCAGCCATGGGAGACTTTAATTGTATTTTGTCTGCTCATGAAAAGAAAGGGGGGGTGCCATACAACATTGCAAAGAGCAGGGATTTCCAACAATGTATTGAGCAGGCTGGGCTGAGAGATGTGGCCAGTTATGGCAGTGTCTTCTCTTGGTGGAATGGGAGAGCTGGAGAGCATGCTGTGTGGGAAAAATTGGATAGATGTTTGGTTAATGATCACTGGGAGTCCCATCTGAAAACTCATTCTCATTATCTCTCAAAAACTGGCTCAGATCATTCTCCAATGATAACTGAAATAGAGCCACAGATCCAACTTGGAAAAAAGCCTTTTATGTTCCTGAACATCTGGACAGAACATGAGCAGTTCATGGGGATTGTCAGGGAAGCCTGGAAAAGGAAGGTGGAGGGGAATGCAATGTTCAGGTTCAAAACTAAGCTTAGGAGAGTTAAAAATGATCTGAAAGCTTGGAATTGGACCACATTTGGGAACATTTTTGAGAAAGTCAAGTTGCGTGAGGAAGAAGCTGGGAAACTGGAGAAAGAATTGATGAATAGGGCAGATGAGGGGGCCCAGATTCAACTTAAAAGAGCCCAAGCTGAATTGAAAAAGGCTTTAGCAGTGGAGGAAAGATATTGGCAACAAAAAGCTCACAAGCAATGGGTTATTGAGGGGGAAAAAAACACTAGATATTTTCATGGCTTGGTGAGGGAGAGAAGAAAAAAGCAAGTGGTGCATAAGATAAAAAATTCTGAGGGAGTGTGGGTGACTGAGCAGAGGGAGGTGGCTGGTTTAGCTGTGCAGTTCTATCAAAACCTGTTCTCAGCTGAAGAAGCTGAGATTGATCTAACTTGTTTTGAATGTTTGCAGGGACAGGTCACAGAGCAGGAGAACAATCTTTTGAGTGCAAAGCCAACTGAGCAGGAAATCAGGGACAGTACTTTTAGTATGAATCCCAATAGCTCAGCTGGGCCTGATGGCTTTGGTGGGGGTTTCTACCAAGCTTGTTGGCCCATTATCAAAGAGGATCTCTGTCAGGTTATTGTAGAATTTTTTGAAGGAAAGCCACTCACTAAACACATGACACACACAACTATTGTCTTGTTGCCTAAGGTAAAAAACCCAGCCACTTTTTCTGACTATAGACCAATAAGCCTCATCAATTTCTGCAATAAAATAATTTCTAAGATCATGGTTATCAGATTGTCTAGTATTCTTGCAAGGCTTGTTGGTCCATATCAGGCTGGGTTTGTCAAAGGAAGAAACATCATAGATAACATCCTCCTGGCCCAAGAACTTTGTCATGGGATGGAGGCATCCAATGTGGACGTAGTCTTGAAATTGGACATGGCAAAGGCATATGATAGGATGTCTTGGAAATGTGTCTTTGCTGTCTTTAGAAAACTTGGCTTTTGTGAAAAATGGATAGACTTAGTGGACAGAAACATAAATAACATTTGGTATTCTGTCCTTGTTAATGGGAATCAATGTGGTTTTTTTTCACTCTACTAGAGGGCTTAGGCAAGGGGACCCCTTATCCCCAAGTCTTTTTATTCTGGCAGCTGAGCTGTTATCTGCTATGTTGTGTCAAAACAGAGTCACTTTTACTCAGGCCAAAGGGGGTCCCTCTGTGAGTCATCTTTCTTTTGCTGATGATGTTGTAATTTTTGCTTCTGGGAAAGGAGATGCTTTGGAAACCATTATGAAAACCCTAGAGATCTATGAGGGCCAATCTGGCCAATGTGTGAATAAGAGCAAGAGTGGTTTTTATGTACATGAGGGGGTGGGAGGGGAGACTATTTCCAGAATAGAAAGGGTGACTAAGTACAAGCACAAAGTTTTTCCTTTTACTTACTTAGGTTGCCCCATTTATAGAGGAAGAAAAAGAGTGAGTTTGTTTGCATCTTTAGTGGAAAAAATTGCTGCTAAGTGTAGGGGTTGGCATAGTAGGCTCCTCTCACAAGGGGGCAAATCTGTGTTGATCAAGTCTGTTTTGCAGGGAATGCCTATGCACATCTTCTCAGCCTTGGATCCCCCCAAGGCTGTTATAAAGCAGATTGAGATGATCTTTGCCAATTTCTTTTGGGGAAATGCAGATGGAAAGCTAAAGCACCACTGGAGTTCATGGGAGTCAATGTCCAAGGCCACTGAGAATGGGGGAGTTGGGTTAACAAGCATTAGGGAGATGGTGGCAGCTGCAGCTACAAAGCTGTGGTGGCACTTTAGAACTGAGGACTCTCTTTGGAGGAAATATCTGGAGGCCAAGTATTGTTCAAGATCTCATCCAGTAGCTAAGACTTGGCAATACAAAGATTCTCATATTTGGAGGAGGATGGTGGGAGCTAGAGAAAAGATTGAGAAAGAGATCCAGTGGAAAGTGGGGAAAGGGGATGTCAATTTTTGGTGGGATGATTGGTCAGGGTTGGGGGCCATTGCAAAAGCCATGAATATACCAGAAAAATCAAGGGCCAAGGATACCTTGAAGAGTTTCTACAGATATGGCAGGTGGTGTTTGCCTGACCTAGGGCCTGAAGTAAGCAGAGCTGCAGAAAAGATTAGCTTGAATGAGTATGCCCCAGACACCCCTCTTTGGAAACCAGAAAGCAATGGGGTGTTCTCATTTGCATCAGCCAAGAAGTATGAGAGGCAGATTGGGGGGATCAGAGTTCCAAGTAGACATTGGTCTAGGAAGATCTGGGCCAAACACATTCCCTGGAAGATGGCATTTTTAGCCTGGAGAGTTTTCAAAAGAAAAGTACCCTTAGATGATATTCTGACCAGATTTGGGTATAACATTGTGTCTGCTTGTTGTTGTTGCCAAAGGCCAAAATCCTGCACTCTCCAGCATGTCTTCTGTACAGGTGAAGCTGCCAGGGCAGTATGGAGTTTCTTTGCTAATTCTTTGGGCATGAGCCTGCAAGTTAGATCATTGCAACACATATGCTACCAGTGGTGGAAGAGAAGGAGAGGGAACAGACTAGAGAAATTTATGGTGGATAGGCTCCCTGTAATCATCATATGGGAACTGTGGGTGAATTTTACAGGTTGCAAGTATGGTGGGGAGAGGTCCTCAGAAGCCAGGACTGTACACAGAATCACAAAGGGAGTGGCAGAATGTATTGCAAGGAGATGGCCAGCCTGGGATGCCTTTCCTTTTGACTGGCATGCCATCCTCAAGAGAACAAAGAGATTTGGAGTCAAAAGAGTTGTTGAAAGGGATAGTTGGTGTAAGCCACCTAGGGGATGGATTAAAGTGAATCATGCAACAAGTGAGAGCAAGAAGACATGCAGTTTCTTTGTTAGGAATGCTACTGGGCAGTTTTGTCTAGCAGGAGTCTACACTGGGGATCTTGCTATGAATCTGAGAGAATTAAGGAAGATGATGGCTCAGGACATTTGGGCATGGTGCAGAAGGAAAAGGCTCTCCAATGTAATGTTTGAAGGGGAGGAAGGACATGGGATGGAGCTGAATCTGAGACCTGATGAGGGGGAGGTGAAACACCTCACTTGCAGAAAGTGTGTTAATTGCATTGCTAGTTGTTTGGCCAACAGATGTGAGGGGGAGAATGTGCTGTTCCTGAGCCCTGGGGGTCTGCCTCATGGTTTCCAGAGGCTTCTGGAACTGGAAGGCTTGCCTCACTTTACTTTTCTCCCAGGACAAGATCTTACATAGTGGGTTGCACAACCTGATGATGTGCTGAGAGTGATTTCAGTATCTGAGGGTGCATCAGCTTATATCTGCCTCTGTTGGCTGGTTCCCTAATGAGGGGGGTGCACATAGTGTAGCTCCTAAAGGGATGGCCTATGCCTGATGAGAAGTTCTTAAACTCTGAGGGTGATTGGTGCAGAGAATCAGAGTGGAATTCAGGGGTAGAGGAGCATGTTGGAGATGGTGATCTGCTACAGAGGACAACACAAATCTGGGGCTGAAGCTAGTTGGCTCTGGGGTACTAGTCAGCATGCTGGCTATCTCCTTGATCAACACAGAACAGCTTGGTAAGTGATCCTTCCAGTAATGGGTGTGTGGCTTGCTTGACTTTACTTGGCTTGCAGGTTCAACTACTTGTGTCTGACTGCTATGTTCCTACTTGGCCTTGGGGAACAAGTGGCCTCCTTATGCAAGTATGCAATTTTGTAATACTAGTAAGGGGAATCACCCTCAATGTTCAAGAGGGGGTCACAGGCTATGTCTATTGGGAAAGTAAATGAAGGATGGAATGATTGATGAGCTTGAAATCCTGCAATGCCCCTAGTTGAGAGCCTTAGAAGGGGGCTGTGTTTGGTCAGTGAAAAGCTAGCAGTAACAAGGAAAAAAGAAAAAAAAAAAAGGGGGGGGGGGGGGGGGGGGGGGGGGGAGAATAGAAAAAAGAGAAGGATAAGTGGTGAAGAAAATAAAATAAGAAGAGAAGAGCTTGATGAATAAAAGAATGTGGTTTGGCAGCTTAGTTTGGGAGCTTCACTGCTGCCTAGACCATGAGGCAAAATGGTCCACTTATGCAAGTGTCATGGCATTAGTAAGTGGCACCATCTTGTGGTTCTAGGAGTATGTGGTTCTTAGCTACCATGACTTGTTTCATAGGGTCAAATGATCTCTTTGTGCAAATGTTTTGGCATCAGCAAAGGGTGTCATCCTGTGGCTCAAGTGTGGGTTCCATTGCCTTGGGTGGGGGCACAAGTGGCCTTCCCGGTAAAAACATAGAGCTCTATGCGGGAATGGCTGACTCCGCGCCCTTGGGGTGGGGGCTTAGAATCCGGTTTAAGGTTAACTTCTAGGGGCATTGTTTGGATCTCTTGTAAAACATGAGGGGACCTTGGATGGCTTGGAGAGATAGACCAATGGCATTTTGGTGACAGTTTGAATCAAGTGCGGGATGTGCAAGCCAAGTAAGGGCTATGGTTGATTTGGGAGACAACGAAGGATCACTTACAAGGTTGTCCTTGGTTTGATCAAAGGGTTAGCCAAGCTTGCGGCCTGGATGTTGGAGCTAATTGGCCGAGTGGCCTTGGAGTGTTTGTTTAGCTTTGTAGCTTTGTAGCTTTGTAGTTTGATCATTTGGAACCAGAGGCTATACGCCCTTGTAGTTTGTTGCTTTAGAGCTTGGTCACTTTTGGGCCAAGCAAACTATGTAAGCCATTGGCCTTGTTTGGTTTGTGATATAATACTTCCTTGTTGGTTAAAAAAAAAATGTACATAATTATATAACAAAATATACATACTCTTTTTAAAAGATAATACACATAATCTAACATAATACATAATAAACATAAACTTTTAACATAATACACATTAACTCTTAACATAATACACACAAATTTTCTTATTCAGATGTACATAATTGTATAAAAAGAATGTACATAATTGTATAAAAATGTATATAACTGTATGAACAAATACACATAATTGTATGAACGAATACACATAATTGTGTGAACAAATACACATAATCACAGCAACTTCCTACCAGCCTCCCAAAACGACCCCAAAACGACGTCATTTTGGGAGGCGCGCGGCGCACAGTGCTATGCGCGCCGTGGTGTAGGATATAACAATTGCTTAATAATTGTATAATACGTTGCATATGCCAATACTATTTATTAATATATGTATATACAACATGGTTTTTGCCATTCCCCACTAAAATGTGTTGGTCTATTCATTTTTTGATAGATCTTTTATTCTTTTCATAATGTAATATTAAATTATTAGTAATATCCATCTTCAAGCTACGTTTTTATCTTCCTTTATAATATCTAATCATGCACATATTTAGATAACTTAGAGATCAAATTTACATAATTAAATTGATTTATTTCTAATTATATTTAATGTATATTATAATTCCAATAATATGAATAATAACAATGTAAATTATATTTTGAAATTTAAAAATATAATTTTTTTTATGAGTAAGTTTAAACTCTTATAGGATACTTTTTCTTACATGATTGTATAAATACATTGTATGTGCACATATTATTTATTGATGTGTATTATTTAGGCAAATTTCTATAATATAATTCTCCTAATTAAGTGCCAAACATCAAGGATTTCTATGAGTAAATTAAACAAAGAAGAAAAAAATGAATCATCTTAGACAGATACTACAATGTAATAGAGCCAGTAACTTTCAAAAAAAGATGGGATTGTTTGCCAATATTGAATGCAGATCTAGGTTGAAACTTGAAAGTGTACATGGCTTTAAGAATCATCTAATCCTCTTGCTTTACTTTGAATGATCGCAGAAGAAGCCTCCATTGTTTTCACTCTCTGCTAAATATTTGTTTTCAACACTAATCTCCCCTTTCACCACCTATTTATTCACCATTAATGGAGTCCTCTCAACATTCTCAATCCCAATCCTCTCCTTCTCCTTCTCCATAGCCTTTACTGTCAACTTCTTCAACCCTAAACCAAACCAGAAAACAAATTACATGCAGAGAATGGGTGCTTCTCTCCAGTCTCCACCTACTCTTCGTTCTAGCATCTCAGCTTGTCTTTTTCTCTTTCTCTGATCTCCGCCATTATCTTGAGACAAAAGATCTGAACTGCATCATCCTTCTAACGCTCGCCGCTGTCTTCTTGGCGTTGGATTCCAGTTGTGAAAAGCCGGACGGCCTCACCAAAGCCAAGCATTTCGTCATATTCTTTTGCTCTCTTTGGTCGTCCTTGATTTCGGCTCTAACACAATACAAACAATTTATATACCCTACACTACGGTGCGCGTAGCATTATGCACCGCGCGCCTTTCAAAACGATGTCGTTTTGAGAGGCGCAGTAGGAAGTTGTTGTGATTATGTGTATTTGTTCACACAATTATGTATATTTGTTCATACAATTATGTATATTTGTTCATACAGTTATGTACATTTTTTATATAATTATGTACATTCTTTTTATATAATTATGTACATCCGAATCAGAAAATTTGTGTGTATCATGTTAAGAGTTGATGTGTATTATGTTAAGAGTTTATGTTTATTATGTATTATGTTAGATTATGTGTATTATCTTTTAAAAAGAGTATATGTATATTTTGTTATATAATTATGTACATTCATGTATATAATTATGTGTATTCTAGTATAATATTATGTACATTTTTGAACATGGATTTTTTTTTAAAAAAAATTAACTGCCATACGCTGGGGCGGGAAATTTCAAAAAAAAAAAAAAAGAGAGTAAAACGACATCGTTTTGCATCTGGGCGCACAGTGCAACGCGCGCCGCGGTATATGATATAAATTGCCCAATACAAATCGAGAGCTGCAATATATATCACTATCTACTTGAATGCAAGGACTAATATACCTTGAAAATCACTATCTACTTTAATACAAAGATTATACAAATAATATTATGAAAAAACTCAAAAGACACCTTAAAAATAACATATGGTCATTACTCTTCATTAACTTCCAATCTACCTTGGATATATGAAAAAGCATAATAAATAGACTGCTTCTCTAGAAGATTCTTTCCTTGAGCTAAACACAATAAATGCATTCAAGACTTGTTAATTTTGTTTGTATCAATAATTTTACAAATTCATCAAAACTACGTAGTTTTTATTGGCCGGGAAACTGAAAATTATTTTTATTTACCAAAAGTTGTGACTTTATTATATATATATATATATATATATATATATATATATATATATATATATATATATATATATATATATATATATATATATATATATATATATGGGAAAATGGCACTTTTTCCCTCTAAGTTATATACTTATAGCACTTTTTCCCCCTCAATTATTTAAGTGGCTCTTTTTTCCCCTGAAATGTTAAATGGACATATTTACCCTTAAAATAAATATTTCATTTATTTTTATTCTCCAACAAATTATTACTATAATTTGGTTCAAACCAAACAGATATTATAGCAACCAAATCAAAATATTCCAATTACAATTTATAATGAAAACGCGATATTTAGAGTTTATTAAAATCGCGAACCGGAATGACCGGTTCATATTCCGAACTGAAAAAATAAAATACATTTATTGTCAAGGTTGCAAAAATCGCGCCTAGGAAGGCCGGAATCGGCCTCCTCCGCGGCCGGCCGGTTAGGCGGTCTAGGCGGCGCCTAGACCGCCTAGCCGGCCGAATCGTCTCAATTTTTTATTTATTTTTTTTCGCGACAGTCTCCCCCAGCCGGTCACCTCCGGCCGAAGTAGTCTCCCCCCAACCTGTCACCTCCACCTCCGCCACCCACGCGACCACGTCGCCGACTCAAAAGATGTGAGGGTGGGAATAATAATAATAATAAGAAGAATCAGATGAATTAGAGCGTAGAAGTCAGAAGAATCAGAAGCCAGAAGCAGTCTGCAGATCGCCGGTTGCATCCGCCACGCGACCACGCTTCTCCGCCAGTCACCGGCTCAAGGGGTAGATGTGAGGTTGAAGATATGTGACGGTGGGAAGGAATTTTGGGACAGAGATGTGAGGTTGAAGATGATGAGAGAGATTAGAGATGTGAGGTTGAAGATGATGGGAACACTCACAGGCTCACAGCTGTATAGCACTAACAGAGTCATCACAGCTATACAAATGTCTACTTTAATTGAGAGATTGAGACTAGTGCCGTGTGTCGATGCGGTCTAAAAAGTAAAAAAGCAACATTTGGTCTAAGCCTCTAGCTCTCTAGGTAGTCTTTTA